AATGTAAGCATGTAAAAAATATTACATGGGGAGTCTCTGAAGTCCTGTATACAGAATCACTGTACCAAAAAGAAATGGTTGATGTTCAAACATTTTAAGAGGTAACATATGATCTAGAGCCACTGATAATGAAGGAAGAAGTCCAAGGTGCACTGAAGGCACTGGCAGGGCAGAAACCTCCGGGAATTGATAGAAAACAAATTGAAATATTTCAACAAGTTGATGCAGCATTGGAGGCACTCACCAATCTATGCCAAGAAATTTAAAAGACAGCTAGCTACCTGGCCAACTGATTGGAAGAGATCCATATGTGTGCACAATCCAAAGAGAGGTGACTTAAGAGAATGCAGAACTCATTGAATATTATAATTAATACCACATGCAAGTAAAGTTCTGCCAAAGATACAGCCTTCAGTATGGGCTGCACCTCAATGTAAAGGAAACAAGAATCCTAACCACTGGACCAGTAAATAGCATCATGATAAATGCAGAAAAGACTTCCTTTTGCTTGTGTTCACCATCAACATTCATGGAAGCAGCATTCAAGAAATCAAACAAAGTATTGCATTAGGCAACTCTAGTGTACAAGACTCTTTTAAATGTGCAAGAGCAAATATGTCATTTTGAGAACTAAGGTGCACTTGACCCAAGCCATGATATTTTCAATTGCCTCATAGGCATATGGAATTGGATAATGAGTAAGGAAGACTGAAGAAGAATTGATGCATTTGAGTTACAGTGTTGGAGAAGAATATGAAAAGCACCAAGAACTGTCAGAAGAACAAATAAATCTGTGTTGGAAGAAGTACAACCAGAATGCTCCTTAGAAGTCAGGATGGTGAGACTTTGTATTTCATACTTCAGACATTCTATTAGGAAGTACCAGTCCCTGAAGAAGGGCATCATGCTTGGTAAAGTGGAGGGTCAGCAAAAGAGGAAGACCCCCAAGGTGGTGGATTGACACAGTGCCAGCAGCGGTAGGTTCAACTGTAACAGCGATTGTGAGGATGGCACAGGATCGGCCACTGCTTTGTTATGTTGCACATAGGTTGCTATGCCAACTCAACTGCACGTAACAAAACTGCAAACCTAGGAATCTTTTTTTTTTTGCAGCATATTTTTAAGTACTGAATTTTCATGGAATGCAGAAGTTGTCTTTTTAGGAATCTAGTTCTAAAGAACTGGAAATAGAATAACAAATTCCTGTGAGGAGGCATGGGAGACAAATAAGAGAATGTCAATTTTTTTGGAAGACACATTTGGAAAACATCTTAGTTATATAAAGAAAAAGAAACCAGGAAAGCATATACATAGCTTGTTTTAGTTACTGCTTTTGTTGTTAGGTGCAGTCAAGTTAAGTGTTATCAAGTCAGTTCTGATGCATAGCGACCCTATGTATAGTCTTCACAGAGCAGAAAGCATCATTTTTCTTCCACTGAGTGACCGGTGGGCTCAAATCGCCATCTATTTGGTTCACATTCCAGTGCTTATCCTACAGATTCCCAGTACTCCCCTAGTTACTGTTAGTGACATACAGTATCTCTAAAAATATGAAAAAGAAACAGAAAACATCAGTTTCTTCTTCAATGGAGAACATGGTTTCCAAGGTAAAGATGCAGAGGGAAATGCTGTAACTATAGAAAATGTCTGGAACTATTTGACTTTTGAGCCATGCAAGAGATATGCTCGTTTAACTATTGAATTACAGTCAATGTCAGAAATTAAAACTCAAACATTTATGTGCAACCTAATAATCTAAGAAGCAGTAGAGAACGTCTTCTAGTCACAGAATTAGAGGTTACTGTCATGCTTTGATACCGTGGGGATTTTCAGGAAAGAAGATCAATAGTAATAGAAGCCATACGACACTCTCATGGTTTTCAGTACTGGATGGAACTTTTAGGGAACAAGGCTTGCTTCATAACCAATGATACTTACATATATTGATTGCATACACATACTGAACAAAATGGAACTGCTGAGACAATCCTAATTTCAAATACTCAGTTTTCTTGTGGTGCTGTAGGATAAGCACTGGACTTTGGCAGTTCAATCCTACTAGCCAGGCCACTCCTTGGAAACCCTATACAGAGCCACTATGAGTTAGAAACCGACACAACGGCACTTAACACCAACAACATATGTATCCATGCCTTCATTAGCAATGAATTTTGTTCACAAACTACTGGTGCCACTTAAATAATTCAAGGACCTATCACCCGGTGTGGCACTGCGGATAAGCACTGGGCAACAAGGTCAGTTGGAACCACAAACTTGGTGGTTCAAACTCACCAGCCACTCCTCAGAAACCCTTTACAGGGTTACTGTGAGTGAGAAATGACTCAATGGCACTTAACGATCACCACCTACAGTTGAGAAGCAGGGTGAATTTAGGTATACAAATCTAGAAAAATTTGTAAGAACTGGTCTAGAGTATAGCATTCATGTTGTGAATCAAAAAGAACCTTGAAATCACTCTAGGTAATCCACACAACTTGTGTAGTTAACTGTCCTATGAAGGAAACTTGTAGCCTGTCAGATGCCTTCATAGAATGTCTATTCCTCTCACCTGCCGTCCACCCATCCCCCGCTATAGAATATCTTGAGTCCAACATTCTATTCCTGTTTAGATTCAAATTTTTCCCTCGTTTTATTGGATTCATGAGCATCTTCTGGAGCCAATCACACTCTGAGCCCAGGACTGTTATCTTCTCATGTTGGAGGCTGCCAGACAATTGTGGTCAGTACCCAAGTCTGTGGAGATGGCTTTACAAGGAGGTAAGTCTGGTAGGTGGTAGGAGAGGGGCTGTTATCAAAGTTCTCAACACCCTTTAAATCCTTGGGAATCCAAATTTGACAGTTCCCCTGAGACATGTTCTCTGAGCAGAAGTAGAGTATGGAGCAGATCCCCCATTACACCTCCTAGGCCATCCTACCTAGGAAGCCTGGGGAAACAGATTGGACAAATGAGACTGGGAGGATTGAGAAAAAAAGAGAGGGGTTTTATAATGGCTATCAGGAAAAGAAAGGCTGAGAAGGGAATAGGGAAACTCTTCTTTTGGAGACTGATTCCTTCAAGAAAGTCCTGAGAATGCCTTCCCCTTAAGAAGGTCCTTTCCCTGCTAGTGAACATGCACAGTGGCATTTCAGAAAGAGTGAGTGTCAACTCCATCCATGTCTTGGAAATCATTTAAAAGGCTGGCTGAGGTGTCTGCCAAGAATCTCCTAAAAGAGTTGCTCAGAGTCAGTGACAGCTTGGGCCTGGGAGCTGGTTGAAATTCTCACAAGTTCTCTATTAAGAAACTTCTCAATTGGAGGGAAGCAACATCAAAATCACACCAAAGACTTTTTCAATTGTCACCAGTATCCCAGTACATACTGCCACTCAACTGTTGATTCCATGGCTTTGATTCACAGTGACCATGTAGGGAATTTGAATGACTTAAAACCTAGTTACCTTTGTTCCCCCTACATTCACCCTTTTCCTTTGTCTCAACAGCCACTCCAGTGCTGAGACAGGATATGACCATGAATCCTGGTGCCTCCATGTCTCCTTTCACTGCACTTCACTTTTCCCCACCTACTCCCAGAACCCAATACCAACCACTCTGGGAGCAACACCAACTGCCCCTCATGACTTCATCGTGCCCTCCTAGCATGCCTCTGGGACTCTCTGTTTTCCCTAAGCCACCGCTGGTGACAGGAGTTGGAGGCCCTGGCCCCAATATGGCTGTGACTGGTAACATCATTCTCCAAGTCAGGTCAGAAGGGGAGCTCCCTGTGCCTCAGACTGTCATCGTGACACAGACCCCACTCAATTGGAACACCCCAGGGACTGTTAGTGGGACTGTTTTGAATGCTCCACCACCATTTGTGGCAGCCTCTGCTATGGAGCAATTGATACCTGCCACTTCTGTTGTGGGTACTCAGGTTTCTAGGGGAAGCTGGTACCCAAGTCTTCAAGTTCCACTTCCTAGTACCCAGCTGGTCTCCATTTTCCCCCAAGTGAAGTCTCAGTCAGGGCTGCATAGTTCTTCTAGGGAGGAAGGCCTGGCCACCACCTAATCCAGGCCCTTGCTAGATGACTCCTCCTGTAACTCCAAGAGTGTTTATGAGAACTACCGACGTTGGCAATGCTTCAAGCCTCTGGCCCGGAGACACCATCTCCAAAGTCCAGATACGGAAGCTCTTTCCTGCTTTCTCATGTGAGTGCTCTAGACAGGTGGGAAACATGCGATTATCCTGCAGCTTTCAAATAAAGAGACATGGGGGAGATAAAATCGAGGGTACCTCTAGTGGTATAGTATGCTATGTATTGGCGGCTAACTGCAAGGTCAGCAGTTTGAATCCACCAGCAGCTTCGCTGGAGAAAAATGAGGCTTTCTGCTGCCATAAAGATTTATAGCCGCGGGAAGGCTATACAGGGTTGCTATAAGTCAGACCTGACTCAGCTGCACACAGCAGCCACAACCACCACAATGGAGATGAGGCTTTCTGAAACATTTGAAGAAAGGTTATGAGGGTTATGGGACATATTATGAGACAGTACAGTCCCAGTACTAGTAATCACACCTCCACCTTGAATGTGACACCAATATTTATATTGAAATCATTATACTAATGATTCAGATATAAATATTGAATCATAAAAAAAATAAAATTATAATTTGCTTACAGACTAAACATCAGAGAGGTTTCATTCCTGTTGTAAAGTGAAGGACCACAATGTGAATTTAGATCTCAGAACAGAAACACATTCATACCATTGGTCTTTACCTTCAAACATAGTCATGGAGCACATATTGTTGTTGTTAAGTGCCATCGAGTCAATTCCAACTCATAGTCACACTATATAAGGTTTCCAAGGAGCAGCTGTTTCGCTTGAATTTCTGATCTTGCAGTTCAAACGGAACTTGCAATCTAGCACATTAACTGGCACTGCCACACCAGGACTCCTGAGCACATACTGGTCAGTACTATATCAAATCCAGAGGAGAGCAAAAGGGGGCAGGCTACAGGAAAATCATTTTAAGTATACTCCCACCCTCCTTCCACTTTAAAATTCCATTTAGAACAGGGAAATGGTAGAGTATACAAAGTGTCCTCACTAGATTTGCAGTGTTGAACAGATCATTGTATATCTTCACCTTTGAATAACGCATTGAATAAGGGGACAATTATAATTCAGAGGAATGCTAAAACCATATGAATATATGAAGTATTCAACAGAGTGCCTAACATATGGTGTGCCTCATAAAAGATATCCATTTTTGTACTAGGTATGAAGGAAAGGCAAAGTACTACAAGAAAAGTACTCACAAAAGCAAAAAATATCGTAGTTACAGTGAGCGCGAGTGAGCAACTGATCATGAAATCCAGAGACATGGGCGTCTGTGAATGGAACGCTGAACAATTAGTTATCTGAGAGCTGAGTCTTTTCCCAGAGACTACATCTCTCTCAATCCTGTGCTGCCCCTTGATCATTATGGGTCAATCATGAAACATTTACTGCAATCACAGGACAGTTTTCCATATGTGTTCCTCCACAAATGCCTGAATGACTGAAGGAATCTACCTCCCCTCTCTAGGGGTTTTCTGCATTCTTAAGCAGTTCTGGGTTGCTTGCATCAGTCTCAAACGCAGCTGGGCCCACAATTTTCTAATCTTGAGACAGTTCAATTAGCATGTGTTCCATTCATCATTGGTTCTGAATGACCTACCATTCTATACACTCTGGGGCCTTAGGGTTTATTTGCCAAGGTGCAGCCCTTCCACTCCAGAGTCATATAGAAAGTTGGTGAAATTCTGGGGACCCCTGGACTGGATCTGGGTATCTGCATTTTAATGGTATCTGGAAGTTAATTTTGTTCACAATTTCACTGAGAACTCAAGGGTATCCTTTCTTTAGACCGTCCCTCCCGGGAGCACATCTCAGTATATTTCTGGTGCTTTGTAAGTAGTATCCTGGAAACAAACAAAAAATTGAAATCTAAGAGTACACACTGGAAAGGGGACTGAATATGAACAAATAGCAACAAAGATGTAATGAAGGGCAAGGGTGTCAAGATAGGGATGGAAAATGTACTGGTAGAAACTGACTGATGTGCATGGGATTTTAGCCCAGTCATGAGATCTCTGGCTCAACTGAAGCCTACCATGATCCTGGAGGAGGGACTGTGGCGGTCCGTGCAGGAATGGCAGGACAAAAGCAACTTTGACCGGATGATCTACTACGAGATGGCAGGAAAGTAAGTAATGGGATCCTGGCCTTGTGGGGCTTGAGTGAGGAGATGTGAAGGGGGTGGATTAAGAGTGGCTACTGTGTGGCTGTGTTGATGCAAATGGGAGGAGATGTTGTGATGAGGAAGTATGCACTTGGATAGAGTCACCTAGATCCATGAGGATCCCTGTCTACCTTCAGACAATTTCTACCATCATAGTCACTGTTTGCAGTTTTCTGTTCTACTTTCTTCTAGAAGCTCACCACTTTTGGGATTTGGAATCTGTGAGTGCTAAGATATTGAGGTTGTCAATATAGGGTATAAACAACACAGGCTCCATTAGACAAAAATTCTATATTGTTTGGGACTCTACAGTGAGGGGATATGCTATATCAGTCTGATCCTACTGCCCCATTGTCGGAGTAAGTGACAGATAATTAGGGAAAATCTCTCCCTATGAAAAATGACACAAAATCGTTTACTACTATCTAAGAATGGAAAAAGCTAGAAAGTATTGTTCATGGGAAAGGAGTACCTCTGGCACCCTGTGGACATGTTTCTAACCCTTAATGTCTTTCCTGACATATTACTAAAACAAAAGAAAGAAAAAGAAACTGATGAGAGAAATCTGAAAAATATCCTGAGATGTTTGCTACCATCTTGTTTCTAATATCTTCTGGAAACTTTTCCTGGTTTATAGTTCAGGGGCTCAAAGTTCAAGCCTAGGACGGGATCTAGAAACTGGTGCTGGTGTTATGGGAAGGTAACTGCATCCCATCTCTCAGGTTCAGACTGTCAGATCTTTTGCGTGTGTTTCAGGGAAAGACAGAGTAGGTTTAGAGTAGAGGACTCACCAGTCCTGCTGTGTGTAACATAGTCTTCATTGAGTTCAACAAGTTAGTGTCAGTGTTGTATGCCATCAGGTATTAAGGGTATGGGAAAGAAGTGAGAACTATAGCTCTGTCTAAAGAAAATTCCAAGAAGATGTGGCTCATTTCCTTTATGACCTAAGTTGTGTTGCAGGTGAAGGGATCAGGAAGTGACACTGTAAAGTACCTCTCAAGTCTTGCTTGGGTTACTGAGAGTAACTCCTACCAGGGAAATGGACTAATTTAGGACCTGGACAGGCTATTGAAGGCACATCTTACCCTGCTTCTCTGCAATCAACAGCTGCTGATATGAGTGCTCCTGGTGGGTGCTGCCTTCATCTCAGCCTGGTCTGTGCTTTCCTCATCCTTGTTAGGTTCATGGAGTTTGAAGCAGATGAGATGCAGATTCAGAAGCTGCAGCAGAGGAAGGGATCAGCACACCTTCCTCCTCCAGTTCCACAGAAATTCCATCCTCCCAAAACTTCAGATACTGTGACTGGGCAGCACCCAGGTATGGCTACCCAAGTTGTAACAGGAGCTAAGGATCAAAGATCAAAGGAGGTTTGTAAACACTGCTTATGCTTAGGGGAACTCTACTGTCTTCACATCTGGTATTTTGCTTTTCAGAGGGATCCCTGGCTATTACAATATGAAGATCTTGACAAGAGACTGGGGTCTCAGATATCCTTCATTATATGTTGTTGTTGTTATGAGCCATGTAGTTGGTTTTGATTCATAGCGAACCTGTACAAGGTCAGCAGTTCCCGCGGTACAGCTGAAAGTTTCGAACTGCTGACCTTGTGGTTCACAGTCCGATTTGTAACCACTATGTAACTGGTCAGGTATGATATCTGCTGTTTCACATGGATTCCCAAAGTTGGGATTAAATATCTAATCATCCTCAAAAAAGTATCTGATTGAGAGGATTTCTTGGAAAAGCAGTAGCTCCAAACTTCCTCACACAATGATCCTCCCAGGACTTCTACTTCTTACATCTTTTCCTCTCACATTATTTGTGGGTTCAGGATGGCCCAGCTTACCAGGAACCATGTCAGTATTTCCAAAACAGTATCTTTACAACATGTGGTTGTGTGCAAACAGCTAAAGTTTGTTGCTCCATTCCCTTCCTTCATTCCAACCTTCCTCCAGTGTTCAATCCAAAGACAGGAAGTGCCAAAACACTACTCCACAAGAAGCAGCAACACAGATCCAAGTGCACTTGGGAACCCAAAGCACCCACGAAGCCATGAAAGAGTATGCTGACATCATGGAAGATCTCCTGGGACTTGCCTATTCAGCCACTGGAGAGCCAAATGGAAAGGAGAAAGGAGATAATGAGCAGCAGCAGGAAAAGCATGACATATACACAGACCCAGGACTCCTGAACTACAATGACAAACTGTGTTCACAGGAAGCCTTTGTAACCAAGGTGGGCTGGACCTGGAAATCAGGTGTCTATAGGTTCCAAAAGTTTGGAACTCACAACTATATAGCGGTGGTATGACTGAGGTGATTGAAATGAAGTTTGATGACTTAAACTCTGATCAACTTTCATGTTCTATTCTCTCACTCTCTTTGTGTTTGTGTGAGTGTGCTTGTTTAGTTTGGGGTTTTCAGTTCTAGTGCAACCAGCCCAAACCACTTCTGTCAAGACAATTTTGACTCATACATGATTTGTTGTTGTTGTTGTTAAGTGCCATGGAGTTGGTTCTGACTCATAGCAATCCTGTGATCCTGTGTAGTGTTTCCAAGGAGCAACTAGAATAGAGTAAAATTAGTTTCCAAAACTGTGAATCTTTAGGGAAGCAGGTTGTCATACCTTCCTCTCACAGGGAAGTTGGTGGATTTGAACCTTCAATCTTTGGGTTAGCAGCTGAGACCTTTAACCACTGCCCCACCAGGATTCCTTATAATACAACACTGGGTGCAGATTTCTGGATCCTCTAGATCAGGGGTGGGAAACATCTGGAATCATTTGGTCTGGCCCTACCAAGGCAACCACAGTCCCAGCCATCACATTAAGGGTGAGTTAATTAAATGTTTAACCAAATACAGCAGCCTGATTACTTTGCATGTCCCGTGAATCATGTTATAAATTTTTGCAGAAAAAAGTTGCCCTACCCCTGCTCTAGATTATTGGTTACTCTTTGCCAAGGATGTTCACACAACTTCCTTTCCATTATCAGGTGGAACCAGTTATTCATCTGCAATTCCTGGAAATGTTACTATCACCAGAATCACAGACAGATCCCTTGTCCTTAATTCAGGAGTTGGAGCAAGAGGAAAGACTCACCCTCTCTCGGGTACACCAGAGGAGGAAAGGAAAATCAGAACACGAAATCTGCAGGATTTCTTCCAACCATACAATGTCTTGACTAGCACTGCATCTGGGGAAGAAAAGCTCCCAGAAGGTGTGGGAGCAGGTATAGAATCAGGAGGTAGGAGTCTAAGGAGAGGTTGAGAAGAGTGGTAAGGAATCAAAGATTAGGAATACAGCACAAAACGATGAGCAGGATGAGATGCAGTATGGGTTACTGAAATCACAGTCATGTGACTGACTTCCCTGAATGCTGTCCCAATGCCATGGGCTCCACCACTTACTCTGCCACCTCTTCTCAAGCTTGTAGAGAGCCAGTGACTATCATTTTCCTTCCTTTTATCTCATGGAAGAGCGACTGTTGAAGTTGAAAGGGGAAGAGAGTGTGGAGGCATTCACAGAATTTCAGGCCAGTCAAGATGCAGGAAGCAGAGACAACCACAACCTACATCAATCGATCAATAAGGAAACAAGCACAAAAAATTGTAATGTAGCTGGTGTTCCAAAAGATGATAGAGGATCCAGTAACTGGTCCAAGTCAAAAGAACATGCTCTCTTACAACAGTGCCAAAAGTCACAGAAACTTAAGTCTAGACAGTCAACCTCTCCTCTCCAGGGTCATGGTCACACTTCCCTTAGATTAGGAACTAGAAATACCTCAATGTTCATAGAAAGTTCTACTAGTAAAGCTTCTGTGGTTGGAGAAGGGTACAATGATGAAGAGGAGCAGGAGGAGGAAGAACTCCCTAGCCTTGCCTTCCTCTTGAAATCTCAAGAAAGTCTATTGCTCTGGGGTCTTTCCAAGAGTCCTCTCCTTGCCTCCAGCATTCTTCACCATGGAGTTCAGTGCTCCTGTCCAGCATCCCAGCTGCTATATCCTGGGGCAGGTTGTCTTTGCCAACCTCAACATGCAGCTACCAAGTCTAAGAAAACAGCTCATGTTAGAACACCATCCCTTGCTGCAAAGAGGCCCCACTCAGAGGCTGACCTTGGAGTCTCTGGTAGGCAACTCTTGGATGTGAATGAAGGCCAAACCTTACTGCCTATAAAAAGAAAGTGGGAACAGGAAGAAGTGTCATTTTAGCCAATAGTGAGCTTAGCTCTTCTAGGTTTCAGATCCTCAAGTTGGGAACCCCACAATAGATTTACATTTTCAGTCCCTACCCTACTCAGTAGGCTCATGTCCTTCCCCTATTCCACTGTAGGTTTTTAGTTGTTATACATATGTGATGAGGACACCAAGAGAGATGAAAGTTTGGTTGACGTGCAAATGGACTTCCATATTATGAAATGATGAACAGTAGTTTAATAAGTGTCTTCTGTAAAATGGTATTAAAGATAGTTTTTATGAAGAAATTCTCAGTGCTTCTTTCTTTTGGTTCTCCTCTACTGCTGGATTTATTATTATGTTTTGGAAAAAAATACCAAAAGACATACAAGGAGACTTTAAGGATGTCAGTATAAAGTTGAAGAGATGAACCAGGTCAGTCACCTATGGAACCAAAGACTAAGGACACTTGTATGTCTTTTGGCTTCTCATAGACCATTGACATATCGCCAGAGATCACCTTCAACATTCCTTTATCACAAGGCCTGACTTGTTTTGAAGAACTTTCTGTGGGTATCCTATCATTATTCTGTGTTTATTAATGGAATATTGCTTTTTCACATAGAAAAAGGACTTGTCTATAAGGTGCTTGTTTTTTTCTCCTGGAAAGAGGTTAGATAACAAATTTCAAGTGATTCTCAAAATATCCAGGGCTCTCCCAGTGTGGTGGGTTTTACCTGACAGGACATAGCACTCTAGGCCTCTGTAGTCACTCAAGAAAAATACATCATTAATTCATAGGAGCACAGTTAAATAAGCAGTGGTATTCTGCTAATTCTGGATCATAAAGGGGACAGAATAAGGCAGAATATGCAGATATTCATGAGGAGTCATTTAAACAGCGTATATATGAGCTATGAAAGAAGGCAGGAAGGACAGGTATTTGTTTTGACATATTTATGAACAGGAATGGGTGTCATCCAAACAAATTGGGAAGGTCTATTCTGACGACTAACTACTTCTGAATATTTAGTCACTGAAAATGTTATGAAGAACAGTGGAACACTGTCAGCACCAGTATACTGAAACAATGAAGAGCACAAGAATGTTGTCAGACATAGTGCTAGAAGAAGTGCCCCTCAGGTGAGAAGGCACTCAAAACACAACTGGGGAAGAGCTACTTCCTTAAAGTAGAATTGACCATGATTACACAAATGGAGTAAACACCTCAGTAACTTCACTTACTGATGGGATAGAACTCATAATGAAGAGAAACAGCTGTAAACATCTATTAATAATCAGAACATGGAATTTATGAAATATGCATGTAGGAAAATTGTAAATTGTTAAAAATGAAATGGAATACATAAGCATCAATATCATAGGCATTAGTGAGTTGAAATGGACTGGTATTGGCTGTTTTGAATCTGACCATCACATGGTTTATTATGCCTGGAATGACAAATTGAAAAGGAAAGGCATCACATTCTTCATCAAAAAGAAGGGACATTGAGGACTTTATGTTGGGTGACATTAGTCAGTCACAAAAGTAGAAATCATGCATAGGACCACTACTATAAAAGACTAAGCAAAAGAACCCATACTAAAGGGGGGAGGGTTCTATGTTGGTTACCATGATGTTGAGAGTGGGGAGCTCATTATAGGGAATAGACACAAGATAGTTTGGGTTCTATGAAAGGGGGCAATTCACAAGAAGGGGGAGGGGAATTGAAGAACAATTTGGGTGAGGAAACAATTAGACTAAGTGGCACAGAGGTAAATAATGATGTATGCACAAGCTGGGAACAACCAGGCTCTGGAATACAGGAATTGAGATATATTTGGAGTCAGAAAAAGGGGGGAAATAACGGTAAGATGCTTGGCTGTCTTTTGAATCTTGGTTTCCATAGCATACCATTAAAAATGACAATTGAGGGGGAGATAAAATAATAGCCAGAAATATCTCCATAGAAAGTTTCTAAGTCCGTCTTCTTACTATAACTCATTGGAATACCTAAAATGGGGCTATAGCATGCCAAGTGAAGGAGGCTGCCTGCTGAGCCTCTGCATTACATAAGACCATAGGTGGTATCCTGAACCACATCCAGAATCTTCTGAGGTGGGAAATTTCCACTTGAAAGGGCAACCAGACCAGCTTGGAGCAATTAAAAGAATAGAAGATACTTCTTGAAAGAAAGAGTGACAGGAAAAATACAAAACAATAAAGGCAGAGGAGGCAGGGGCTAGGGTAGAGGTGCAGTGAAGTTTGCCATCACCAATACAACAAAATAACAGGCAAAGCAGATTAAGAGCAGAGCTACAAAACTCAGAAACTCAGAGAGGAATATTTAAAATGTCTGAAGGCTTATAGCTAGTGGAATTTGTAGCAAAAGTAAGAAATCATGTACTTTTGAATCTGCCGGGTTTGGTGCCCCTGAGCTGAAAACTTGGGTCAATTCATATGGCAAGACCAAGTGGTTGAGCAGACACACCATAGAAAAATGCCAGGGGAACCTCTGAGCAAAAGTGGACAATACACTTTGTTGGTTTGCTTTGTTCTGATTTTCTTTCTTTTTGGTATCTGTTCCTTGGCCCCCAACTGTTTGTGCACCTCCATTCTGGTGACTAAAGGGAGTGTCTGAGAGAGTGAACGCCCCCCACCCTCACCACTGGTGGGTTATTCTGCCATGCATGTGCACAGATACTCTCAGCCCAAGAGATGGCACTGAATTGTTTTTGTTGTGGTTGTTGTTGTTGTTATTTTTTAAATACAGGAAGGCCAGGACAGGGGTGTAGAGAGGGAAAGAGAGTTTAAAAACAAAACAGGTTGAAAATTAAATTAAATCCTGAGGTACAGGATAACAGCCAATAGTGGTATCTTGAAATCTCTCAGCCAGCTTTGAAGGCAAGAAGCTGAAGAGAGGACATTAAAGTAAGACTCATATTAGGCTACAGATTTTTTTTCCTCTCCCTTTCTTTCCCTTTCCTGTGATTATAGACTACAGTATTCAGTCTAGTTTTGTCTTTTTGCTGTTGTTGTTGCTTTTTT